CCGTTCGTGGAGGGAGCAGCGGGCCGCCCAACTCGCAGCAAGGCCCCCCTCCCCCCATCCCCTGGGCACAAAATATGACGAACATGATGAACAAGGTGGCGTTGAACAAAAGACTTGGCAGGCGAGGACAAGCCCAGCGAAGATCGCTTCTAGAAGAAGAGACACCAGAAAACAAAGTAGAATTCGGGCAAGTCCCCGTGCTACTTACCAACCTTTCCGTGTGACAATGTGCCTAGATTTGGGAACGCCGCTCCGAGGGACAGATAGCATGGTATGTCATCGAGAGGAATAGTGAAGTACCTCCCCCAGATGCCGTGAAGGTCCATGAGACCAAAAGCTGTTGGGTGAGATGTTGAAGGAGTAAGGTACAGAAACAGCCGGGGCAAATGCGATGGGTACATATTGCCAACAACCTGCACAGCCCAGGGTCTTCATCCAGCGCAACAACCTCCATCCCCATGAGCACTTGAGGGATCATGTCCAAAGCTAGCACAAACTCGGCGTTAGTGGTAGTTTCTGGGCTTAGGACACCCCCACCGGGGATGGCGGAGGGGGTCCCGGTTCGGGTTTGATCTGGTGGGGCATGTGTGAATTGACGACGGCAATGGGGTAACTCGTAACCGCAACGGCAGCAAACAACATGGATTTGAAGAGAAGGAGGGGCTTATTTGGACAAGGACACGGGGTGGGAATGGTGGGCAATTCCCCTATCTCAGTCCCAAAGGAAGAATGAGACGGATCGAGGCCGCCAACTGTGTTGATGCTTCCATGTCTTTATTCGGGCTCCAACCATTAACTAACGTTATGGTGAACCCCCTTAAAGTTGCTTGGGAGGGAGCCGCAAGACTGAACCTAGGGGCAAAAATAAAAACGAACAACACCCGTTGCAATGAGCACCTTCCATGTCAAATGCTTCATGGCCCCCTGTCTCGAACCTCAGATCGACCAATTAGATGGGCAGTTCTCGATTAGGATTGCCGATTTCGTCCTTCGTGCCTGCCTGCTGGACCCCACATTGACGCATGGCACGAAGCTGTCGGCAGGGAGGCACCCGCGCACCATCACTTTTACAGGCTGGCGGTGCTCCTGAACCGTCATTGCAACAAAACGTCAAGATCGCCGTGCGATGCTTGGCCAGGTTCTTCCGAGACCCGCTCTGGGGCGGGCACTTTTCTTCTCTCGAGGCCGTGCCGAATTTTCTTCAAAACAACTCTCTCTCGACACAAGTCACAAATCAACTTAAAAAATTGTCGAGAAATACCTCAAGGCATATCGATCAGTTTGGGATCGCTCGGAGGTCTAGTGTTCTCATAGCCACAATGACTTCCGCCTCAAGCGGCCCGTTCTGTGCCCGCCGTTAAAACGGCTGCTCCAGCCACGGTAGGAGAACAATGGGCCGGCTTTTCTGGCCGCCACAGCCCCTTTTCCATATCAATCTCGAAACCGCAGGCCAGCGACCGGACATTGAACTTGACGCATCAAGTATTGGATTGGCCTCTGTACGAGTACTCATTCTCGCATCCCTTTTAGTATTAAATTTCGCTCCCTCGCGATCCCCTAGCAGCCATTTCACATGTGACCGGTGGAGCGCGACGATCCGGACTTGCCCGAGACCCGTTGCCGCCTTTTTGAACGTCGTCCCTCAAGCCCAACCAACGCCATTAATGGAGACACTGGTTGAATGCGAGAGAAAGTCCTACACAGGTATGTAGTCGTAAGCAGTTGTTTTGCTGTCAAATTTGATCTCTTAAGACAAGGGCCCATGGTGCCAGATTCATGGACGATCACAAGATATTATCCTCACCTTCAAGACTAGGAAATCGAGCTACCCCTGAGCATCTTTGACCTTTCTCTGGAGATTGAGTGCGTTTCCTAGAATTTTTGGGCCCGTCCCTCGTGTTTTGTTCAAGATACCATTGAGTCCCACCTTCAACGACAGTTCGACGGAGAGTATTACACCGAGCTGTTTCCCATTGCAAGGACACGACCAACTCAGTCCACCACCAGGGGCGAATCAGATGATTATAACAGGCGGTACGCCTGACGACAAATGTTGAGCTGGCCATCCCTCCTCCCCCGAAATGTTAGATGTGCTGCGGCCATGGACTGAGATCACGAACGACGGTAGCAGATGCGTCGTCCAGTTATTACCACTTTAAAGCTGGCACCGTCAGCAATCCTAGGCAAATTGCCTTTCCTAAGCGACGGGCTCCCACCCAAGCAACACCGTAGGAGAGGAAATGAGTTCTATGGCGATAAATCCATGGGGGTCGTGTCAACCGCGGTCGTAACTGTCGACTCATTGTAAAAATACATAACTCTCACGCTAAGTCGTGATGACTTGAGACCACCCGACACTGTAGCGTTGCCCGTGAGGATTCTCTTCCTTTTCTGCGGCGGTCAAATCCGCTGTCCCTTTCTCGCCTCACCCATTCCACGCAGCTCAACTACCATACCACGATACCATGGTTCGCCAATATCCGGCTCCTTGAAGCGGGTGTTGAGCGGGCCCTGGGGCCCTTTTCCAAACATCATAATCAACATCTTATAACTTGACAGCCCAGTAATCAGGCGTTACAACCAATGTCCAAGTCTGGTTCCAGGCAGAGATCCCTATCTCGCCAACTGGTTCATTTCGCCGAGAAGCCGCTTTATCTAATTATCCGTCGCCTTTTTTCCCTCGTCATTGGGTCTGACTACATCTGGTTCGGCGAGCTCAGTGTCGTTGAGTTTCTCCAAGATCTCACACTATCAGTCGAGTATTCTCGTTTTCACCGGTGTCGGAATACTATAAATGTTTATCTCAACTATACATAGTACTTCTGTATCCGCTTGGAGTTTATGGCGTCCGTGTTACTAACCATAACCCCCTGGTAGACAAGCGCCGGCCGTTAGTGTTCTGCGAATGGAGTTATTCCCAACATAAAGGGCGTGGAGGCTATTTGCTTTACGTTCTATTCTCGACCGAAGTGAGCTTTGCTTGCTGAAGTGAGAACAAACGATGGGTCAAGGGTTCTGGGGTCATCTCAAGGCACACGTAGACAGCGGCGGATGTACCAGTCTGCTAGCAAGTAGCAATACTCCTTGTAAGTAGCCCAGTGTCCCTTTTCTCGCGTCAACGGTGGAAGAATAAGGTTTTCAGCCCACCCACCCGCGTTGATACGTACCGATGGCGCTGGGGGAGGTCAGAAATGTCATAATGACTAGCCCGCTGATGGCGATGATAGAACCCTCGAGGTTTCGCGAAAACAACGTGGGGCTCTGTCTACATGGTCACATTTCTGGCCACATGTTGGAATTTTCTACGCATCTTGCCAGCAAATAGCCGCTGCTGCATTGCGTGTAGACTTTTCAAGGGTGAACATAGGTGACCAGGGCTTGTGGCATTCATGCTTGACCCAAATGCTTGAGGTGTATAACAAAATGATGACGAGCTGCTTTCGTACAAGTAATTGGTCATTCAAGCCTGCCCCGGGTTGTTATCGTTTTGTAATTATTTGGAAGTTCATCCATTATTTTGTGAGGCTTTTATTCATGAGTGTCCGTTCTCGGAAATCGACGGGCTTTCACGGTCGATGAAACTGGCCGAAGGAAGCCTAAACACAAACAAGATTTAGGGACCGGCAATGAGAGGCATTTTCGCGCCTACGAGCTAGGAGGTTGGCCTGATCCCGAAATTCACTCATGTCCATATTTCCCCTCTGTCGGGCATGTGTGGCACGTATCGAGGCGGACCATCTGATTTCTGGAGATGCCACGGATTCATTGATACGCGAGAGAGAACTGGGAGCGCCATTTTCTAGTCTGTCTTATCTTCGGAAAACTACCACTTAGAGCGTGTACTACGTACACATGTTGGCTACCTCTACGAATACAACAAACCGCAAACAAAGGGATCACCGAGAAAGGCTCGGCATTAAAGCCCTATAAACCCGGCTCTTCGTAAACCTTGGATTATGACGGTACGGGCTGAACAGCTTAGGCCGCCGTTTCGTCAGTTGTCTTCACCTAGAGACTCATCGATGGGACTTTTCTGAGGTTCATTTATTAACCTCATGGCTGCCGTGGGGCGCATTGCATCGGTGTAACAGCGGCTTGAATGCTTCACAGCTTCCAGATAGTTAACCGAGGCGGAAGGCAGGAAATGCGGCAAAAAGCCAGTCGGCTCCGACAGGCTCTCCCGGGCCCCGCAGTCTCCCGACATATCGGTTTACATCCGTGAAGCGATCCCCCGAGATATCTTCGCGGATTTGCGGGGCCACCCCAATCAATCACGACCGAGGCCCGACGTCATGGGGACGGGACGGCCCATGGAAGCCAGGCGTTAAGAGCCGCCCCGAAGGCTCCACACAACGCAACCGGATGAAAAGTTTATTCCATCGTTGTTGTAGTGTAGTTTTTCTCCGCTCCACCATGAACTGAAGCGGAAACATTGTATTTTTAGTTATTTTATTTTCCCACCGTGCCACTCAGCTTTGACGCATCACTTTGCAATCCAGTGTGCACTTGTCGATGGGGTACACTCCGCGCCTGACCGGGCGTAGATACGTACCGACCGCCGGCTTATCCTCACCTTAGGCCAATTAGCTCACCACGTGCGACCGTTGCTCGCCTAGAAATGCTGGGTCCTTCCCATCCCTTTGAACCCAATCACGGAAAGGCGGGGCTGACGGGGACTTTTTTGGATCAACCCACCATGTGAAACATGTCCGTGGTTCTTGGGACAATTTACTGTACAATGTTCTCATGTGAGCTGTACACTGCTGCGGACCGAGCGGAAGAAGGGGGGGGGTATTTGCCCGCCCCCAGAGTGTATAAATCCCCCTTCCCACTCCCACAGTCCTGGCCCTTCCTTGTTTCCTTCTTCTTTCCATCCATCAAACACTTTCTCGCTACCTTCCACACAAACGCACATCTACTCTCTTGCCTTTACCTGGTACTTTTCTGATCATCACAGAAATCACCGGCCAAACGCCCAAAACACCAATATTCCGCCCAAAATGTCGGCCCCTACTACTGAGCAGATCCGCCAGCTGAGCGAGCAGGTCGTGGAGTTCGCCCCCCAGGTGACCCAGCGCCGGCCCTCGACCTTCCTGTCGCTGGCCCCCAAGACATCGGACTCCTACCCGCGGGCGCAGCGTGCCAAGCAGCAACCTCTCACCACCGAGGCCCTCGCCCAGGTCACGCAAACGGAAGCTGCCGCCGTCGCCGTCGAGGAAGACGCGACCAAGCGCCGCACTTCCAGCCTCGGCAGCGATGCCTCCAAGTTCCGCTTCCTCAAGCTCGGACCGGTCCACTGGGGAGAGCACCAGGATGACCACAAGGACGACTTCCATGAGGTCGTGAACGAGGTGGCCGTCGAGTGAACGGCGAGTTCTTTCACTACACAAAAAAAAAAAAGAGAGCAACAACGGGAAAGCAAGATTCCCGTGCCACAGTCTCGGGGCAGCCTGAGATTCCCCATTTCCCCTCGATGTCGGACGGGTTACGGCCACGGATACCCCAGGAAAGCCATCCATCACCCACCCACAAAAAAAACAACTCATCACCATTCCCGACCTCCCTTGTCTCTTTGGTTCGGGGAGTTTCTTATCAGCCGTTTGTACCTCCATGGCGGGGGATCTGGCTTGGGGGGGGGTAAAAGAGAGAGGGGGGGAAAGGGTGGTGGGTTCGCCCTCCCACACGCGGCGAGCCGACCGTTCTTCCTCTCCAAAATGATTTACGTATCATTTTCCGCCCGCGAAGACGCCGCCTGTTCTGGTTGGAGTTGTCGAGGAATGAAATTGGGGTGGGGGTTCTCGAGCTAAACTCCGAACTGGGGTACTAGGATGCTTGGCTTAGCCTATTTCTGTGACACCACAGATCCAACAGTCCAAGAGGGTGGGTGTGGGGTTGGTAGGGGGGTTGGAAAAGGAAAAGGGGGTTTCTTTTTCTCTGGTTGGGGCCACTTGGGAGATAGACGCAGACAGAAGAAGAGAGAAAATAAGAGAAAAGATTGGTAACTCCATTGTCCATGGTTGTGAGATGGTGTGCTTACCCATGGTGATGATGGGAATGTTGTTGGTTTTTTTGGAGTTTCCTCGTAGCTCCATGTTTCCTCACTGGTCCAAAACCCACCGGGATTGGGCGGCTCCGACAGCCCCGACAGCGCCGGCGTCCAACGGACCAATGACTCTCCCATGCCTCATGCATATCGCCGTGAGAAAGTGCGGAGAAGGATGCATGGCAAAAGCTTACGACTGGCAGGCTCGCAGGGTCCCAGGATTACAAGGGGCTAGCTCCGTCGGTTCACGAGCTGGAAAGCAGCTTAAACACCGAAAAAAAGGGAGGGTGTGTGAGCATGGTGAGCGTGTCGCGACTTGATTTCCCATCCACATCATGGACGCCCAAAGTTCTTCCTAAAATCCCTCTTCCCTCCACACCAACCTCCATGCTTCCATTCACTTGACTGGGGAGGGGAGGAGGGGGCAAATCCGCCGTCAAACAGCTGCCTTGTCCCCCCCTCCTCGGGCGTCTCTCGTCCCATCATCACCGAATATGCTGGGCGCGGGATTATTTTCGACCATCACAAAAGAAAGATCGACATCCTTCAGGAGGGACGACAAGCGTTTGAAATCCAAGCCAAGGCGGCCGGGCGCAGCGCCAACCATTGCACAAGATTGCGTTGGGCAGTGATGAGCGAGGGAAGGGAGGGCTGGGCGAAACAGGATAAGAGAGGGCGATGACGTTGGAGATTTGATAGGTTCATGTTTGAACGAGAAGAGAGCGGTCTGGGCTGAGTCTTGGGCAGCAATCTCTTTCTGAAGATTTTTTTCCGAGGCGTTGTGGTTTGCGAGACTCAAGCGGTTGTTGTTGGTCTTTCCAATTACTCTTATCATTGGCTGGGCGGCGGTTTCGAAGTCTTGACCTGAAGCTAGTTTCAGCACCTTGTCTTGCCAAGCAACCTTCTCGTCGGTTGCCCGAGCTGATTGACCGCTGCCGGTGTGATCACGCGGACCTTTCTGAATCCGAGGGAACTCCACTGGAAGAATGATGTCGCCCTCCTTTTCGACAAAATTGCCTGATTTAGCTTGGTTGACAGAGAATGAGTTGGGTTCGCCCACGTCAGCTGTAGCCTGTCAATCACGCCAACGCCGGCGTTGCCGGGAGGAATGAAGGTAACGAACTGTCTGCTTATCTCGAGAATTCCGTGGAAGCCTTCCGGAGATCTCGGATCTTCATGCCCAGATCTGAATCTGTGCCACTTGCCTCGCCTGGCTGGGGAGATCTTGATCATCAGCATCATCCCGCCTTGGCGGAAGGCTCGGCGCTGAGTGTCGGCCAATTGACCCTAAACAAGAGTCCAAGACATTGCTTCGCTCTGACTTGTTTGTTTGTGGATTGCTTGGCAACTTGGCAACCTCCTCCCCAAGCTCCCAAGGACCCTTTTGATGCAGCGAAAACACTTGGCACGAAGCGCGCCAGTTGCAGGAAATTCGCCAAGCTCGGAGTTGCTCATCCGCCAACCTTCTTGATTCTGAACTCGGCCGAATCACCGACACAACTGCTCACAAGTCTCGGGATTTGTACCTCGAAAAACCCATCGCCAGTGGTTGTGTCTCTCTGCCCAGACTGAGCGGAAGCAGTCGCAGACGCCGCACAGCCCGGAACGGCCCCTTCATGAAAGGAACACCAGAACCACGCATGTTCCCATACAGGCACCCCCAGTTGCGCCCTCTCCAAGTTCGGATCCGTCAGCAGCACCAGCAGCGCCCTCAGCGCAGGATTCTCCGCGTAATCCACCGTTTGGAGCCACCGACCCCGCGTTTGGCTTGGCAAACGCTGCTGGCTCCCGCTCGGAACGCCGGCCTCGAGAATATTGACCCTGATCCTCTCGAGGGCCCCATTCAACACCATGTCTTGCAGCTCCGACACAACAAAAGCCGACGATGCGAGCCGTCGGAGGTCGACTACCACGCTTCGGATCCGCCGCCGCGAGACCACCGTGTCGGGATGGCCCAATAGTTTTGCCCGCACATCTGCCATCATCACGTTGGCCGCGGCCGTGTCCTCATCCTCTGAATGGAGAGCTGCTTGCCCCCCGCGAGATGCTCGAAGCTTCTTGGACATTTCCCGTCTCTGCCTCTTCGACCAGCCGTTGGACGCGAAATCGAGGTAGAAAACGTTCCGCCCGTAGTAGAGATCGCCGGCTTCGCGGTAGAGGACGGGTGACGCAAGAAAAAGGTTGACAGGTGGATCGGCACATTCCTCCTCCTCCTCCAGTCTTCCTTCCGCTCTGTCCCCTCCCTCTCTCTCTCCCTCAGTTGTTGACGCGTCGGCGCCGTAACCGCCAAGGTTTGTTGTTTGCGCACGTGTAACATTGGTCGCATTCCTCGTCGTTCCTAATCCGCGATGAAAATCGGCGATGGTACCGGGGCGGAGGGCCACGTTCCTCCCGTCAATGCCACCGCCTACCCAAATGCCCGTGGGGAAGACGCAAACGTGGGAGAGGATATGCTCGCGCAGTTCTCCCGGGAGATCAAAGAAACGTTCGAATTTTGCGGGTGCCATTTTTGCATATTATGGCGTTACCTAGATAACCGGGACGGGCTCGCGGCCGTGACATTTAATTTCGAGGTACAAATATGAATGACTCATTGCAGAGCGAGGCGACAAGAAAAGGTTGGCTCTTGCTTCAGGAAAGTCGGTAGTTATCGGGGCAGGTAACCGAGCACCCAAGCGGGGCGGCATGCTGATTTTCAAAGCGTCCACATTCCCTTCTTTCCGAAACTCGATATTTGAACCATTACCTTCCTTCCCTTGCCTTTTTTCTGTCGTGTCCTCTACCGGAGTTTTATTCTGTCCGTCCTCCCCTTCAGCTTGTTGACTCTCGCTTTCGTCGCATCGAATTTTCAGGGAATTATTCGTGCCACCGTGCTTCTTGGAATCGAAGCGCGCAAGGACTACAAACAGTGTCTCGGGGATGCACGAAAGCGTGGCCATCAATCAAGGTCATAGAACAGTAATACCAATCATCAACAATCTTTAGAGACACCTCCGCCGAACCGCCCCGTAGCGAAACGCAATTCAAAGCCGGATAAACCCTCTAACTTTTGTGTCCCGTTTCATGAATCAAGATGTAAGACGCCTCCCATCATCCCGCGACCCTTGCCGCCCTTGGCCTGTGGTCCAATACCTCCCAGACCGTGGCTTCATAATCCCGCCCAATGCGCCCTGTATCTATCTAGGCACGGCCATACCATTCATCCGTCGTGAAGTCATTTACCGCGAGGACATAGCCTTGGTGACCAGCCTCTTGAGGCCAAGCTCCTTCTTCTTCAGCTCCTCAGCCGTCGAGTCCTCGATCTCGAGCTGGCCCATGGCCTCGCTAAGCGATTGCTCGATCTTGTCCTTCTGGCCGCGCTTGAGCTTGAGCGACAGAGTCGGGTCGGAGATGATCTCCTCAACGCGGGAAATGTACGACTCAAGCTGCTGCTTAGCCTCGAAGCGCTTGCTGAAGGCCTCGTCCTTGCTCTTGAACTTCTCGGCATCTGTACAAAAGGCATTATTAGTAAGCGCCCCGGGAAAATCTGCTTTAGCATACAATGGAATCACATACCGTTAATCATGTTCTCAATTTCGCCGGAGGAAAGCTTGCCGACAGAGTTGGAGATAGTGATGTTGGCGCTGCGACCAGAGGTCTTCTCAGTGGCAGTGACCTTAAGGATACCGTTGACGTCGACCTCAAAGACAACCTCCAGGACAGGCTCACCAGCCTTCATGGGAGGGATCGGAGCAAGGGTGAATTCACCCAAAGAGGTGTTGTCCTCGCAGTTGACACGCTCGCCCTGGTATACGGGGAACTGGACAGTCTGCTGGTTGTCGGCAACCGTGGTGAATGTCCTCTTCTTGATGGTCGGGACAGTTTGGCCGCGGGCAACGACGGGGGCGAAAATGTTGCCTTCCATGGCAACACCCAGGGACAGGGGAACCACATCCAAGAGGAGGAGGTCCGAGGTGTCGGCCGAGGTGGCCTTGCCAGAGAGAATACCAGCCTGAACAGCGGCACCGTAGGCAACGGCTTCGTCGGGGTTGATGCTCTTCTCGAGCTTCTTGCCATCGAAGAACTCGCTCAGGAGCTTCTGGATACGAGGAATACGGGTGGAACCGCCGACAAGGACGATCTCGTCAACAGCGCTCTTCTCAAGACCGGCATCCTTAAGAACCTGAGCAACAGGCTCCAGGGTGCCAGAGAAAGCCTTGGCATTCAGGTCCTCGAAACGGGCACGAGTAATCTGCATGTTGAAGTCCTCGCCGTCAAAGAGAGAGTCGATCTCAATGGTGGTTTGGGCACCGCTCGACAGAGTACGCTTGGCACGCTCGCAAGCAGTCCTCAGGCGACGGAGGGCACGGGCATCACCAGAAAGATCTAAGTGAATGAAGTGTCAGCGAACAACCCTTTTAACAGTCACCAGCATACATCTCTCTAGGGAAGTGTAATGAGGCCGGAAAGCGAAATCGCGGTCCTAATAATAATAAATGTAAAAGACCAGGGACAACGTACCCTTCTTGAACTTCCTCGTGAACTCCTTCTTGCAGTGGTCAAGGAGGTTGGTGTCGAAGTCCTGGCCACCAAGATGGGTATCACCGGCAGTAGCCTTCACGGTAAAGACACCACCCTGGATGTTGAGGAGCGAGACATCGAAAGTACCACCGCCAAGATCGTAGATCAGGACGTTGCGCTCCTTGCTAGACTTGCCGGAGCCAAGACCGTAGGCAATGGCGGCAGCAGTGGGCTCGTTGATAATACGGAGGACGTTAAGACCGGAAATGGCACCGGCGTCCTTGGTGGCCTGGCGTTGGTTGTCGTTGAAGTAGGCCGGGACGGTGATGACGGCTTTCTCAACCTTCTTACCGAGCTTAACCTCGGCAATCTCCTTCATCTATATATTTCCACAACGTGTCAGGAAAAGAACTAGCCGGGTTTGGGGGATAGTGTACTGACCTTGTTGAGGACCATGGCGGAAATCTCCTGTGGGGAGAAGGTGTGGGTGTTGCCGAGGTACTGGACCTCGACCTTGGGGTTACCGTTACCATCATCAACGACCTTGAAGGGCCACGACTCCATGTCCTTCTTGACGGTCGGGTCCTCGAAGCGGCGACCGATCAGACGCCTACAAGGGAACGATTGTCAGTGGGATTCTACACTTAAACCACAACAGGAGGCGCCATACTTGACGTCAAAGACGGTGTTCACCGGGTTCATGGCGGCCTGGTTCTTGGCGGCCTCACCAATCAGGCGCTCGTCCTCAGTGAAGGAGACGAACGAGGGCGTGGTGAAGCTACCCTGCTCGTTGGCGATGATCTCGACATTGGTGCCTTCGTAGGTGGCAACGCAAGAGTAGGTCGTGCCTGTGCATCGTGGTCTTCAGTTAGCGGGGGCGCCCAATTTTTACCCAGCGTGGCGTCAAAGCCGTAGGAGAATCATAGCAGGTGGAGGATTACCGAGATCGATGCCAATGGCACCATCGTAGACTTCGTCCGCCATTTTTGAAGATTGGTGTTTTTTTAACGAGGCTATGAAGTTTGACTGAATCTGGCGCGCGAAGAGGGAAAGACCGATTCGGCGTGGGGCAGACTGGACGACCTTTAAATTTTGAAATTTTCAACTGCGTTGAACTTTTTTCTTCTCCGCCTGGCCCGCCTCCTACCCCACCAATCCCCTCCCTTTCGTTCGGCCCATGTAACCGTAATCGCCTTATCAACCCCCCTCTCGTGATAAATCACGTGATCCCAGGGCGGGATGTATCCCTGGCGTCTTCCAAAATCATTAGGGTGGGGCAAATCGTTGGGCGGGACGCTCTTGTCGACGTGCGACTGATGGTTTTCTTCTCAACTTTTTGATTGTGTTTAATTCGTGACCTTCCCTCAGCTCTCTCATCCACTCACACGGCCTACCTGACGACATTGCCTGGAGCAACAGTCGCTCTTTCCGTTCGCGACAGATTGGGACGCAATTGCCAAGTGCTCCGAGTCGGCCTTTCCCTAGCCTTGCGCCCCTCCGCCACCCACATCCTCAGGTCGCATTTTCCACGGAAACCAACACAGCCTCGAGCTTCGAACCTACGCAAGTAGGTCACTTCTACCACTCTCGCCCACGCCTCTGCCCGGCCATTATCAATCCAAACGGGTCACTCTTCGAGCGGACAATTTTTTCCTTTCCTTGAATCACCCCAAGTTCACCAACATGGCCGAGCAAGTCGATCTTACGACCATCCCCATTTCGCCCGATGGCGGGAACAAGCCTGATGGCGCTGCCGCCGATACTACCGGAGACGGCAAGCCGGTGACCGTCTTCCACGATAAGGACAACTTCAATGTCAAGCACCCGCTCTCAAATCGGTGGACTCTCTGGTTTACCAAGCCCGCAAGCGGAAAGGTTCGGTCCAACACATAGCCCCACCACCTTCGTGCTATTCTAATGCTTCTCTAAACAGGGCGACAACTGGAACGAGTTATTGAAGGAAGTCATTACGTTCGAGTCTGTGGAGGAATTCTGGGGCATTTACGTAAGAGGCAACGTGCTGTCTAAGTTCAACCGGTCGCCCTAACACTTAATATAGAACAACATCACCCCCGTGTCAGACCTCGCCCTTAAATCGGATTACCACCTCTTCAAGGAGGGCGTACGGCCAGAATGGGAGGACCCACAAAACAAGCACGGCGGCAAATGGTCGTTCCAGTTCAAGGAGAAGCGGGCGGTCAACATTGACGAACTTTGGTTGCATACTATGCTTGGTGCGATTGGTGAGACTTTGGAGGAGGAGGAGGACGGTGAGGTGATGGGAGTTGTGGTGAACGTCCGCAAGGCGTTCTTCCGTATCGGTGTCTGGACTCGCACCACAGGCCGTCACGTCCCAGGCCGTGGCGATGGCGATATTGCCGGTGGCAAAGGCCGCTCGCCTGAGAAGGGCAAGGAAATTCTGATGTCTCTTGGGCGTCGGTTTAAGGCTGTTCTCAATTTGCCACCGAACGAGATGCTCGAGTTCTCGGGTCACACGGACAGCGCTCACAGCGGCAGTACACGCGCAAAGGCAAAGATGGTGGTCTAAACTTCGAGTCGGTCCATGCAACCCCCGAAAGCCGCTCCGACTCGGCCTACACGATTGGGGGGTCTTTAAGGACCATGGCGATACGCTTGGTGCATACCATATTTTGGCCCAAGAGCCGTCTCGGGTGGCCTCCGACTTTCAAGGGCATTGGGAAATAAGAAACAATCAACCAACCGGAGGGAAGCCTCCGTCGAAAATTCGGCGTTGATTTTCGTGTTGGGCGGGGGGTCGGGAGCTTTCGGTTTGGGCGAACATGGTTTTCCTTGGCTGCGTATGGTTAACGGTTGTTTGTTTATTTGCTTCTCGAAGATGGCTTTTAGCTGCGATGAGCCTAGCATATCCGCATCCGTTTAATGAGAAATGTGAACCCGACAATAGCAACTTGTATTTTGTGGAGTCGATGATGCCCGGCCACTGCTGCTCCGGTCCGCTTCTATTAAGAGTCTACGCACCAGTTATTGGTGATACACTTTATGACTACTGAAGTGATGATCTAACGAATTCTATCCCCTCTATCCATTCACTGCGGGGACCCAGAACATGTCCTACTTATCCCAAACCCGTTCCAAATTCTCCTTACAGCTCATCCCCGCTGAAGTCGTCGATAAATATTTCCTTGACCAGTGTTTTCTTGTTGATCTTGCCCATTGCGTTCCTCGGGATGTGATCCACCACTCTTAGTACCTGAGGGATCTTGTAGCCCGCCAGCCTCCCCTTCAGGGCGCGGCGCATCTCTAGTGGCGACCACTTCCCGTCAGGCAAGCGTTCTTTGTCGAGGATCACTACCGCCCCGACCTTTTGGCCCCATTTCCCGCTGGGTACAGCCAGCACGGCCACCTCAGCAACCTGCGGTAAGGAGAGCATTTCCCGCTCTACCTCCAATGCTGAAACCTTTTCGCCCCCGCTCTTGATGATGTCGGCGCTACGGCGCCCTAGAATGAAGTACAGGTCCCCTCTCGCCCAGTCCTTCTGGCTCGGCAGGACGCTCCGCCCCGCGCCGTCCACGGCTCGGCGCACTGCTACGTCGCCCGTCTTGAACCACTGGCCCCGGCCGTCCTTGGACTCCACAAACTCTTTAACTGTCGCCTCCGGATTGCGCCAGTACTCAGTAAAGATGGTAGGCCCGCGCAGCTGGATCTCGCCAACGCGCTCGCGACCGTCAGCGTCGCGTTCCTGGCCGGGCTCGATCAATTGGTGTGTGTCGACATCGACTAGACGCGCCTCCACGCCGGGAAGTGGCCAGCCGACGGAACCGTCTACACGGTCGACCACATCGAGCCCGCAGCTGAGCGCCATCCCGACTTCCGTCATGCCAAAACGCTCAAGTAGTACGTTCCCGCCGCTCAGCTCGGACCAGGCGCGCTTGATCGGGGTTGGAAGGGCGGCGGAACCGGAGATGGCGAGGCGTAAGTTAGCGGGCGAGATGGCGGTGCGCGTGGCGCTTTGCATGTCTGGGGGTAGGGCTTTGTGGGTAGTGAGGAGCCGGGCGTAGATGGTTGGGACAGCGGTGAGGAAGGTAATTTTGCGGTGTTGATGCTGGGTCAAGTCCGCGTTGGGGGTCTGGTCCGGTGTGAGGAAGGGAGCGGCCAAGCGGCGCCATACTGCATCGGCGTTGAAGGGGAAGAGGAACTCGATAGTGCTGCCGGAAAAGAGCGGGGTGAAGATGGCATTGATGGTGCCGTGGATGTGGTGCAACGGCAGAACGTGGAGGAGGTGATCAGAGGGTGAGTATTCCCACGCCTGTAGTAAAGATTTGGCTTGTGCTGTCATGACGGACTGGGGGAGGAGGACGCCTTTCTGAAATTCGCAAGTCAGTTTATCGTAGCCGTATTCCGGGCAAAAGGGCCGGAACGTACCGGTCGATTCGTGGTCCCAGATGTATAGAGCATCATGCCTGCGGAACCCGGGTCGGACTTATCCAATGTGACGTTTTCGTGGGCACCCTGCCCTTCGAACTTGTTCATACGTAGGTACGCGGGCTGAACGTCCAATTCGGTCCTCAAGACTTCCTCCGCTTTCGAGGCGAACTTTGCGGATGATAAAAGCACAATTGCTTCGCTATGGTTCAAGATATATTGTACCTCCGGCGCTGGGAAAGCTGGGGAAAGCGGTACCGCTATGGACTTGGCCGCGAGGATAGCCAGAAACGTGACTTGTAAGTGGTATATCGTCAGTCCACGCCGATGTATAGGTTTCCCATAAGCTCCGACACAGTGAGCGTTGTGAGAAGGCAAGAATCAAGCTTACCCACATAGTCGTAGCTGTTTTCGACCAGGAACGCGATACGCTCGCCGTCGAGGTCATCCCTCCCAGCGGTCTCATATAGACGGTTTCGAACCTTGCACACGTCGCCTAACAACTCCCCATATCGAAACTGGCGTCCGCTATTCGAATGAATCACGGCGATCGAATTCGGGTCATGGCGCGAAATCGCCTCGAAGACGGGTAACCTCGGTAGTGCAGACGCCATCGTTCTCGCTCGAGCAGATTGGGTCGTCGAACCACACCACAGAGGACGGAGACGAGGTAGAAGCAGCGCAACGGGATGTAGCTGGCGGGCAAAGCTCCTACCAAAGGGAAGGGCAGAGGACATGAGGATTTTGAGAGGGGTGGGAGAGGAGCCGAAACGGCGGGCCAGAGCAGGGGGGTCGTCGATCGGCCTTTAAAGGTGTGACCCGTGGTGGCCGGAGAATGGGGCGGGAGTGTGGGAAAACGGAGTCGGCCGGTCACACTTGCAAATGGAATACGACAGGGGTCCAAACAATCCACAACACGGTCTTCTTGTTGCTGGTTCGGAGCGCATTCTATTTTTTCCCCCGGGAACGAGGAACGGCGGCCGGCAAATCGGGTTTTCGAAGCACCTAAGAGCCCGAGTTGCGGGAACAGGGAATGGTATCCGCGGGGTCGAGATGAGTTGGCGAGTTGAGACGTCGATATCAGCACTGGTGTATGGATTGAAACTTAAAACAGAGATCGTTGATCCCTTTTCTTTCTTCGAATCGTTGTGCCTATGGGCGACGGTTAATTATCACTTTCGTGTGCAAAGTACTGTTCCATGTGACGTTGGTCAAAACGTTCAGGGCCGAAGTCCAGTGTCGTCCCAGGTGGGATTTGAGGGGCAATGTGGCGTCGCTACACCTGTTCCCACTGTGCAGCCCCGAAAGACGGGAATCGGGCCGCTGGGGGCTCATCTCGTTTGGCTGTCGATACCCCACGCTTTCTGCCGGCGATTGAATTCTTGCGCAGCAGGAGCTGGTAACATGCAAGGCGAGCTTCCATTCCTTTTACCTGTTAACTGTGGCCCACACCTCTCACCATTCCGCCGTCTCTGCCGAACCAGTTGCCGTGGGCTGTTTATAGGTACAGGTGACGGAACATTCAACCTGACCTGCAGGTTCGAAGTTCGGGGTTCCGGCGCCGGGCAGTTCATTCTTCTATGTTGCGCCAAGCCGCCCTGGGCTTTGCCAGAGCCGCCCGCCCATATTCCGCCATGGCGTCACTCACTCCGGTTGAGGATGTGATCCGGGAGAAGGTATGTAATCGGAAATCCGACATACGACGGAAGTACATCCGTCTTCATGTGATGCGGGTGCTGATCATTTCTCTCTTGCTGCTCCTCAGATCACTGCCGCTCTACAGCCCACGACGCTCGAAATCCACAACGATTCGCATCTCCATGCCCACCACCAGGCGATGCAGGGTGTTACGTCGAAGGAAACACACTTTAGGGTCATCATTGCATCCGAAGCTTTCCAATCCAAGATGCAGCCGGCAAGACACCGCCTTGTCTATTCCCTCTTGAAGGACGAACTGGCCCAGGAAGGGGGAATCCACGCGCTGCAACTCCGGACCATGACCCCAGAAGAGGACGCAAAGCGGCGAGCTCGTGAGGCCGAAGTAGAGTAAAAAAAAGAGAATATTGCCTTTCTAGGCACTACAAGGGCTTAGATTGGTGATACCCTCAGCGCTGAACTGGAAATCATGCAAGAGCAGGTTGGCACCCTTGTGTAGCAATAATTACCGTACAGCAGCCGCCATTCACTAGTATCCCATCCATCTTCGATTTCATATGCTAACGCGCCCTCCTCCTGTGATCCGTACTTACGCGCGTTACGAGGGTTACAAGATGTTAGGAGCCACATGCGTCACCCGGAAAAGCTTTGTCCCTCTGCTGCTGACGGACTTGGCCCTCCAGGAGGAGTGGAAGACTTGATCTTTTGGAGGAACTTTCCGAAGCGTCGAACTTTCGCAAGCTCTGGATCCTGTGAAAGTCGCATTTTTTTGGCCCCGGAACCCGATCCGCCGGTTGACCACCCGCCTGGGGCCTGATGAGCAGCTCTGCGTTTGAGTCTCGCCTCCGGAATGCTATCGGCATTGCTGAGTTGGGAGAAAACCACATTAGACATGGCGCTTCCTGGGGGTAGTGTGTGTTTTGGCAGGTTTCGGGTCGACGGCTGCTCTATGTCGGGTAGTGATGAATCAACCTGGGTCCGGAGATACACGGGCTTGATTGTAGATGTGTCCGCTGTCGTCGATACCGTGCCATTTTTCAGTCGTGGTTGTCGGGCTGGCGTGGACATAAGAGGTTTTGTGCTATTTTCCAAAACTGTAGCCTCCCCGCTTCGCAGGTTAGGGATGGTTCCTGGCCCTATATAGTGGCTCGTCGTGTGTGTAGGTATCTTGTCCCCCGTTGAATCAAACGCCTGGTTTGCGAGTGAAATCATGCCCTCGAGGTGCTGGATACGTGTTTCTAAGTGTGTCAAGTCCGGTTCCCCAGGCGAGGATTCCAGGGGTCGTTTGTCTGTCTCAGCCCGGCTCGGCAGATGCGGGATTGATCGGCGGGGTATAGGCTTTTTCAGAGTTTGCAGAATGGCTCGGGACTCTTCCGGGTACTTGCTTGCCACGTCGTTGATGTTGTCACGAGTCAATATGCCCTTCAAATAGCTGGGCCTCGACACGTTTTCGTTGTAGAATTGGATTGCTGGGAGCGGAGTTCGGCTGTCGTCAAATGTTCTCACATACTCTAGGAAATCAGTGGAGAAAACGCGGACGAAGTCGTCGTAAAGAAATTCGGGGAGAGCTTTCCCCTCGCAGAGCTTCGCAACGCACATGGCGCCACGGAGAAAAACATTAAGACTCCCATTATAATCCGGGTACGCAACTTTGAAAGCGGTGTACGGGACTTGGGACGACGGACCGTTGGGTGGTAGCTTTTCCGTAGTTTTGCTCCACCTCTGGCTGGCAGCGGCCGAGGGCGTTCTCCTGGCGGTTTCGGGTGGGGTTTTCCGTAACGGAGCGCATTGAGCGCCCATAGACAACACAGTGGATGATGTCTCTGCAGGATGGTGTAGGGGAACCCGTGGGGTTGGCATTGGTGAGTCAAGGGCTGAACTGAGTGGCCGGGGCAGAATCGAGCCTGTATCACCAGGGGATTGTTCCGTTAAGTGTTCTCTCGTGGGGCTTGCAGAGCGGGTGGCGGGGGGTTTCGTAAGGCGGGACCGGTTCGCGAGGAGCCGTCTAAGAGGACTAGTTTGTCCCGTAGGCACTGAGAAATTGATCTGCGCAGAAGGTGGCGTTGGCTCGAGCAAAGCAACGACAGGCTGTCGATTGACCGGCGCCGCGACCTCGGGTACAGCTTGGGGAATTTCGATCTCTAACCCAGGCTCAGACGTGGCACAGCTGCTGGGAAAGGCGTTGGGAGTAGACAAGGACGGCGGGGTAAAATGTCTGGCGGCGCGGTCGCCATAGAACTTAGATGGCCTAGTTTTCGAAATATCTGCAGCTCTGGGGGGATGCTCCTCTTGTTTGTGTGGTTTGGCGAAATGCGACGGCGGAGAGGGCGGCCACGAACCAAGACTGTCTTCCCCCACATCATCCTCGTTTCCTTTGGTCGTGCCCAGTGTGCGTCCTAAATCGGCTTGGCGGTTCTCGTCAGGGAAATCGGGTTCCTTCTCTGATGCGATGGGCGACGGAGGATCTGAAGGGAACGCTCCCTGGGTTGTTGTTTTGCTGGACTGGGTTGTTCTCTCGTATCGCTCCTTGGCAGAGTTCAACACGCTTGGTGGAACACGGAAACCGCTGTCGTCAACCCAAGAGTCTGAGCGATTCAACAACGCCTGTTGCTTAGCGGATATTCGGACGTAGCGGCGGGGGATGGCTGTCGCTCGAGCGTGGTGACTGGGCGACCATGACGGCCGGTATGAAGCAACAGTGGGATTGTTTTGGTTCGCCATGGGTAGTGTCTTGCGAGCAGATTCGACTGGCCCCGAAATGCCCGAGGCTATCCGTACTTTGCTAGGTATAGTGATTGCTCACGGCGGGCTCAAGGCGGAGGGGACGTCGTCGAGTAAGTTAAGGGTTTGCATAACCTGGATGAAAGGGGCATGGTCCTGCTCTGTTAACACAAGGGTGATCGATACCTCTGATGTTGAAAAACAACTTATCAGTATGCAGGCGTCGTTCCTCAAATCAGGAGGACGCGGTGGGCCCGTTGCTGTTTGTGGAAGGATCCGAAGGAACACGACCGCGTGCAACGACGCCAACTCACGTGATTGCCCCACTAAGCAACCTCTGGGGAAGAGTGGGGCTGCACCCGTGACACTGTGACAGTATTCTGCGCTACAAAAGATGCATGACACAGGTTATAGCTTTTTTGTAGGAATGCCTGCCCGGTGACGACACCCTTTTGAGACACCAGTCATCCAGGCATTCATTCACGACCAAGGTCCTCGCCCCGCCCAAGTTTGCAGAACTACCCAAGCTAGCTCGAGTCACGCATGACCTCCATACACTCACCTTTTAAAACCACCGGCGTTCTGGATGCTAAGGCATCACTACCACTCTGTCGGTCTTGGTGGATGACTTGGTCGTGCTCAGTCGCGCCGCAATCTGTGCCCCACCCAACACAGCTGTCTTAGACTTTCCCATCTACCTACATAGCAACCAAAGAATGGGTGATGCCCATCGATCGGTCCCCCTCATAACCCGCGGCTGTCGCCGGACTGACGCACCATATCATGGCCCACTCCAACGGGCTGCGTCCGCCCTCCCTCGTCCCCTCGGTGCCACCATCACCAGCCGGTACCCGATCCCGCCGCAGTTCGGCGACGTCGTTTTCAGTAACCTCGCCCGTCGATAGGGAGCAGATCGCGCTCACGCTCGACAAAATTCATACCTCAGCTAGCCAGTCAGACGCTCTGACCACATTCAACGATTTCGGTCCTCCACCCGACTCGCTACCTACCTCCGAAAGCAAATCGACCGCCGGGGATATCGTCCAGCAGGGCCTGAGTGGCCTGTATTCCCGCTTCAAGGAGGCTGTTGGCGCCAAGGGCAAGGCTCCTGCTCAAGAAGCAGACGATGCTAACAGTCAGGATGGAGCCTCTTCCAAGAAGACTACGGGTGCGCCTCCAAGTACTACAAAATTGTCGCCGCTGCCCAGGGGGGAAAGTGGTGTTTCGATTCCAACCATGGAGCCGGCTACCTCCTCGGATGTTCAAACCCCAAGTATATCCTCTCCTGGGGCTCCGGCCACCGAGTCGCAACCAAACACAGCCCCGCAATCCTCCAAAGCGTCGTCGACTTCGATAGCTGCAGCCCTCAAGTCTCCCGCCATAAGTACCCAGAGTTTACCAAAAATGGCAAAGACTGCAGTCCCATCCGCTGCGAACGCATCTATAGCACCGGTCACTGTGCAGGGTTTCATGGATACGGAGGGGACTCGGGGCGTCACGACCCGTGAGGAGCTGCCCACTAGAACTACAGGTCGTAGAAGTATAAGCAGGCCGGACGACGGGATACCAAGTCCCAGTCCGTCGGGAAATGCAAGTTTGGACAGCGTAACCACCGTTGATCGACTCGTACTTTCAAAGCGAGCAACAAGAGATGATGCTCTCAGCATCGACGGGAGCACGGATGCGCCGCATAGCCCCGTTCCACCGGTGGTCGAAGCCCGTGTGTCCTCCACTTCGTCACGCATCTCGCCTGCGGAGGCCATGCGAAAACCGGCGGTAATAGACCGAATTACCTCCACCAGGGGTAGAAGCCACTCGAGATCATCGTCCTTGGAACCTGGTGCCGCTCCAAGCCCGATCAGCACCTCAGCTCACAGCTCAGTGTATCATGACTCATTTACCCACAACGAGCGGCCGCAGATGCTGCAGTCGGGCATCATGAGGATCCCGGGCACAACCACAAATGAAGGAGCTCCCGACGTTGTGAACGCTAGGCTAGAAAGAATGAAGAAACAGGTGTTGAGTAAGGAGTTCTGGATGGCTGATGAGACATGCAAAGAATGTTTCCTTTGCGGTACGCCTTTTACTGCGTTTCGGAGAAAGCACCACTGCCGCACGTGCGGCTGCATCTTTGACTCGAAGTGCACCTCCAACATCTCAGGGCAAAAGTTTGGGGTCCCAGGGACCCTCCGGGTCTGCAAAACCTGTTTAAACGTCATCAACCGCCGCTATGATAGTGGCTCAGACGACTCGGCTGACGAATCTTATCTCCCTGCAATCTTCCGCACGAACCAGCAGATGAAAACGACCCCCGCGGTGACTAGGCTTCGAACGGACGATGAGATGAGCATTTCAGAGCGGGCTGAGCAGACCGAGGACGGGAGGACTGCAACAACCCCCATGATGGCTATTCCAGCAACGCGACGGTTGGGGGAAAACAATCGCCATTCCGCTGTTCTGGAGATCGACATGCCACAACTGAGCAGACCTGGTTCATCAAGGTCCTTGAAATCACTTGCGACTAACCGACCACAGTCTGCGGGACACCGCCGGCATCACTCCAAGCAGAATTTCCTATCCAGGCTGAAGGCATCGCCGGACGACAGAGCCCCTTTTCGGGCCCCCGCAAATGAAGAGCTAGGGAAAAAGGCCAATGTTAATGCATTCCATGCCGATAACATTATCGACCCAGAGCTGGCAGATTACATGTCTGATGAGTCCAGCGAAGACGAGCAGATGAGCAGCATCTTTGCCACCATGGATGGAACTGACTTCCCATCGTCCAGTCTGGATCCCGGCCGGGCAAGCTTTGGTACGTATTTGACCGCAGGTCGGAAGCATCGTTTTCGCCAGGGCGAGAAGAGCGTCAGCGGCTTGAGCCATGCGAGTCGCGGTTTTGAAGAGGGTGGCAGCGGCTTGCAGAACTTATCCATTCACACCCGGCCACCTCGTCGAAGGAACCTCAGCATTGCCAGCGCCAGCGTCCACCACTTGCGCACTCCACGCCCAAAATCAGCCGTGATAAAAGGGCCTTCCGCCTCGGCCGATACCCTTTCCATCTTCGACAGCGTCATTGAGGCGCCGACTCAGAATCGAACTGAATCTGAACGAGAGGCAAGGTCCGCCGAACACGATCTGAATCCTACCAGTTTGCAGCATGTCAAAAAGCTCTTTCGACAGCTGCTCCAGGATGCCGACATTCCCAATCCTGCCGGTTGGGAAAAAACCTTGATTCCCATCCTGGACCGGTGTGCCGACGACGTCGACCCGGACATTCGAAACGGCGATGACATGGATATCCGGCATTGGGTGAAACTCAAACGAATCCCCGGTGGCAAGCCGAGTGACACGGCTTACGTGCACGGCGTTGTCTTCACCAAAAATCTGGCTTTGAAAAGCATGCCGCGCAAGATCCGTAATCCGAGGATAGTCATTATCACCTTCCCTCTCGAGTACCAACGCCACCCCCAGCAGCATTTTATGAGCTTGCAGCCGGTAATCGAGCAGGAGAAAGAATATTTGCGAATGGTTGTCAACCGGATTCTCAACTTGGAACCCCATGTGCTGCTCGTGGAAAAGAGCGTTGCCGGACTTGCGCTCCAGTACCTCTCCGAGGCAAACGTTGCTGTCGCCTACAACGTCAAGCCGTCAGTGCTTGAAGCCGTGGCACGCATTGTGAACATGCCCGTCATTTCATCCATGGACATGCTCAGCCTAGGCGCCCGCGTGGGTATGAGCGAGAGTTTCGAGGTCAAGACATTTGTGAACAGTGAGATTCGCGGCAAAAAGAAAACCTACCTCTTCATATCCGGGTGCCCCAAAGATCGCGGTTGTACCATTGCGCTTCGTGGTGCATCAACCGAGATCCTGTCGCGGATGAAGCGCATTACCGAGTTCATGCTCTACGTCATTTACAACTCAAAATTAGAGTCTTGCCTCATGCGCGACGAGTTCATTCGGCTTCCTTCGGATCCTGGGCAGCCTCTACTGCCAGCTTTGCCATCGGAGCAGACGGATGAAAGCTTCCCAGCGCCGGTTGCTGAAGGAATGACAGGCGTCCCCACCGACCGCCCTGCTATTCTCGTCACGCGGCAAAGTACAGCAGAAGATGGGGGTATTTTGCAGGATAACGAACCAACACCTGTCGCTGCCGATAAAGAAGAACCAGCCCACGTCGAACCAGCTGCTCAGCCGGCTCTGGAAACTCAACAAGGGACGGTATCCATGCATGAGCTACATGCACATGGGGAGATTCCTGATGATATTCCCATGCCCGGCTTCCACGGTGACACAGTGGAAAGGTATGAGACGAGGATTTTGTCGGCCTCCCCATTCGTCAAATTCAAGCAACCCTACTTGCTCTTGAAGGCACGAGAGCAAGAGCGGCGTGCGGCATACCTGAAACGGCTTCTTGAGCAGGAACGCCCGGAGGCGTTTGAAGAGAGCGAAAAGGGGGAGCCGGAGCCCTTTCAGCTCGTTCAGCCTGAGATGGTGCGGGGGATTGAACAAGTGGCTCCACGAAAGGTCATGGAGGTGCTCCATGCCGTCCATGATGCCGAATACGACAAGGCGATGCACAGTTACAGGACCCAGGCGAAGCAGTGGGAAGCGTACATTCACGGGAGCCTCGATCTCTTCGACCCCCATTCCCACCAGAATATTGTGGTCCTGTACTCTGTCACGTGCACCGCGACCAAGATTCCCTGCTCGGAGCCCAGTTTAGTCGCCATTGAGTTTTATAACGAGCATCCGGATCCCAACGGGAATATGGACCAAGACTGCACTTTGGGCCAATACATCGAGGATGTGTGCGAGGGTGCTGAATTTATCTGCCACTCCAACGGCTGCGACCGGAAGATGTATGAACACCATCGCACCTACGTCCACGACAACGCGCGTCTTACTGTCATACTGGAAACCTCCCCGGTGTGGCCCGAGAACTTCCCCGCCAAACCGCAGGAGAGGGACGGTGACAACGACGGAACGGGCATCCGCATGTGGAATTACTGCAAGCATTGCAACAAGCATTTCGGCCTCATGCCCATGTCCATGAGCACTTGGAAGTACTCATTTGGCAAGTACCTCGAGCTTTCATTCTGGGGCAGTGGGCTCCCGCTGAACCCAGAAACCGAGTGTCCTCACGACCACCAAAAGGACCACATCCGGTTTTTCTATTACCTGTACCGCGACATCGCGGTGAGGGTGCATTATGATCCCATTGATCTCTATGAGATCGTTGTGCCGCGGACGACGATCACCTGGAAGGTGGACTACGATCTCAAGGTCAAGAACGAGGTCTTCACCCGGGCCGAAGACCGCTGGAACCGCTTCATGAATTCTGTTGGGGCTCGACTTAAGAGCATCCGGATCGACAGCGTGCTCCCGGAAAAGGCGGAGGCTTGCAAAGTCGAGGTGGAAAGGCTCAGCAAAAAATCACAGGAGGACCAAAACGAGTTGGTCCGCGCCCTTCAGGATGCGTACATGGGCTCCAGGTACTACGAAGTAATTCCCTTCAACACCGTCATTCGCCAGATGCTAGAAAAGGTGACGGACTGGGATGCCGCATTTGCCACCTTCGAGGCCGACTTCCTTTCCGACAAGGACGTCCGTCAGTTGACCATCATCCAACTCAAGAAGATGTTTACAGACCACGAGTCTAAAGAGTCTCTCCCGGGCACCGAGGGAACTCCGTCGATTGCTTCTGAATCTGAAGAAAAGACGGCATCTACCGCGTCTCCACCTAGTACAGCTGAGACTAGCGAGAAACCGTCACAAGATCTGGAAGCCGATGCCAGTCAGTCACAAGAGGCGCCCCCATCTCCAACCCCGCAGCCCATCCCAGCGCCGAAGGAGGGTGCTGCCGCAGCCGAAACAGAAACGGTCCTGGATAGGGTTGAACCGCTGGACCTGGCAACCGCTGGCACGACAAATGTTGCAAAGGACATTGTTATGCCGGCCACGGAAGACAACCTCCCAAACACCAAACCCCTTAACGGTTTGCCGTCCAACTCGGCCACTACTTCCACTTCTACGGGCTCTTCTGTGGCACAAACGAGCATCCCAGTACCGACGGCAACCACTGGCCATATGTCATTATCGGAAAAAGTAGAGCAGCTCCGTCGCGAGCAGCGGGCACTGTCCAACGACCCCAGAGGGTCGGGTTCTTCCAATGGCGAGAACTTGCCCAGCACCCCTAAGCACACAGCAGATCGTGCCTTGTCTAGGAGAGCCGGCGCAGCTGTGTCGCCTCCGATGGTTCGGGCCATTTCTCACCCCCCGGGGGGCACTCTTCCAAGGGCACAAACCGCCATTGGCAAGCTCCTGAAAGAGCAGAAAGCCCAGGATATGGGGGGAGGTGAGCTGCAGAAGGCGGCGACAGAAAACATCTTGGTGAAGGGAGAAAAGAAGTTCACCGACCGTCTTGGGCTCGGGGTCTTGAAAGGCCATCGTAAGGCGGTGCCTTCCGGGATTCCCCGGTACGTTCACAAGAAGGAATCGAAGGTATCAACACTGGCAAAACATTTCGAGCAACTGAGTCGGGAATTTGAGAAGGAGAGGTTGAAAGACCGCAAGCAACGGGCGGCCAAGATGCACCACAGCCGAGCGTTCCTCCCCCGGTCTTCGACCAAGACCATAGTGAAGGTCTACAAAGACGTGGACCAGGCTGTGGAAGAGCCCGGGCCGCTAGAAGATGAGCACCTCCCAGACAAAGAACGGGGCGACAAGCAAGGCGAAAAAGCGGCAGCGGTAGCTGTGGCGGTTTACAGTCCATTGCCCGGATCGCAGCGGGCCAAGGCACCCGCAACAGCGCCCGACTCTTCACAGAAGGTTCCCTCCGAGCCGGAACGTTCGGGAGACAATACCACCCAACCGGAGACGGAAGAGAGCCGTCAAGAGAGCCGAATCCCGTCTGAGGATGAAACCGGGGAGAGTGACGCCGACAATGACAACGACAACGACAGCCCTGCTCTTACCCTAGATGACATCCTCCCGGGTGTCAAGGAGATTGCCGATTCTCTGGTGGAACCTGAAGAGATCCCAGAGGACCTGCCGAAGCACCAAAAGAAGAGCCTGATGACGATGTTGACAAATTTTTGGGCCGAGCGCTCGGCTAGCGGTTGGCCGCAACTGGAGTACCCCATCAACGCGACCGACCACATCTTTTTCGATTCGGATGTGATTATCAGAGAGGATGAGCCAAGTTCCCTTGTGGCGTTCGCCCTCAGCTCCGAGGACTACTTGGCCAAGCTGTCGGAAATCCGGCAGAAATGGGAAATGTCGGTTCAGTCAGAGACGGAGGACAGCAGCGATGGTCTGGAGATGAAACGGCCCGAGGCGCCCACCGGCAAGGGGGCAAGGGCCGCACAATACAATACTGAGCTGGAGAAGAGTTTGCTCAGACCGACGGGCATGCATGTCAAGTACCAGTTTACGGAAGGGTCGGCTAGGATGACGTGTCAGATCTTCTACGCGGAGCAGTTCGACGCACTGCGGCGGAAATGCGGCGTAGCCGACCGCTTTGTCGAGTCGCTCTCCCGCTGTCTCAAGTGGGATTCCAAGGGTGGCAAGACCAAATCTGTGTTCCTCAAGACGCTCGACGAGCGCTTCATTCTCAAGTCCCTCTCGCCCAGCGAGACCTCGTCCTTCCTCCGGTTCGCCCCGGACTACTTCAACATCATGTCGGAGGCGCTCTTCCACGACCTTCCGTCGGTCATCGCCAAGATGTTTGGTTTTTTCCGCGTCTTCATCAAAAACCCCCTCACCAACACGGAGATCAAGCTTGACCTCCTGGTCATGGAAAACCTCTTCTACGACCGGTGCCCGAGCCGGACGTTCGATCTCAAGGGGTCGATGCGCAACCGCAAGATCCAGTCGACAGGCGAGCAAAACGAAGTGTTGTTGGACGAGAACATGGTGGAATACATTTACGAGTCACCCCTCTTCTCGCGCGAGCACTCCAAGCGACTGCTGCGCGCGTCGGTGTTCAACGACACGTTGTTTTTGGCGAAGCAGAATGTCATGGACTACTCGCTTATGGTGGCCGTCGACGAGGTGAAGAAGGAGATCTCGGTGGGTATTATCGATTGTATCCGGACTTATACATGGGACAAGCAGTTGGAGAGTTGGATCAAGAATCGTGGGTTTGCTGGCGGTGGACGGAACCGGCCGACTGTGACGAGTCCGAGAGAGTATAAGAGTCGGTTCAGGGAGGCTATGGCGAGGTACGTTCTTTTTTCCCTCCCCCTCATTTCTTCTCTATGCCTCATTTTTATACGGAGATACGTCTGGGTGGTGAGAATTTGCTAACGACGGTGGTATCAACAGGTACATCCTGCAATCACCCAATTGCTGGCACACTTTTGGGAACCGACATTCTCCCAACACGCCGAGACCTAGGTTTGAGGAGGACAACTATGTGGATCGTATAGAAGGGTAATGGTTTTATGATATGGATACGAGCGGGCCCGGTGCATAATGGCGAGGTTTTAGCATGGCATAGCGATTATTTAGGATGTGGCGTGGAACTGAAATTTAGGCTCTTTCTTTGTTTTTTATCAATGGATCCGGTTCGTGTGCTGCTGGCTTGACAGTGAGTGTGTCGTCCAAATGAAAGTGACTTGCAAGTCAGTAGATTGGCTGCCTTAGTAAAGAACATGAACGGAGAACATAAACGTGGAGAACATGAACGGAAACTTAACGGAGAAAACTAGTTTCAAATAAACCAACAAAAGTAGCAACGCCATCCCTTAAACCCCCTCCTTTCTTACTACGCTACACCATCAACAGCGGTTCCATCCCTGTCATGAGAACATCCTCACCCGGATACTCAATATCCCCCTCCTCCCTCTCCTCTACTACATCACTATCCTCCTCCTCATAGTATTCTGGTTCCTCAGCACGCATTTGTTCCTCCGCCTCCGCCACCGGGTCCCAGCTTTGCGGAACCAGGTCCGGGTCGACAGTGGGCAGTTTGTTTTCCTCTAGTTTCTGTGAGAAGGGATTGAGCGCTGTGAGGGTCTTGAGCCAGTTGGGTTGGTTTTCCTCTTCTGATTGTTGATATAGCTCGACCGCTGTTAGGGGAAAATCAGGGGTTGTTAGTACCTGTTTTTTGCGTAGTGTGTGTGTAGTAAGTATGACGAAAAAGGGGGTATAAAATTGCATGAGAAACAGAAAACAAACCCCAAAATAAATTTAAAAAAAAAACAAAAACAAAGAAGAACTGGAAAAAACAAAAAAAACTCACCACCACCAAGAATAGCCATCGTATCCCCAAACAGCACCTCCCTCTGCAACTTCGTATCGCCCCCCCAATACGTCGCCGGCCCCGGCCTAAACACCACTTTCTCCTCCACATACGGCCGCAGTTTCGGCTGACGATACCGCGCCGCAATCGGATCGGCTTGCTTCATCTCTTCCTCAGTCAGTCGCCGTAGTCCGCCCATGCCTTCTCTACTGCTGCTCCCTTCCACTGCGGGCCCAGGCCAGCGGTCAAGAGACCAGAATTGTCTGCGTCTATGTCCGGCCGAAGGTCCCTCAACCGTCTCCTTGACCCCTTTAACCCCCTCCTTAGCAGTTCCAGCTCCAACTTCGGCTGCGGCTCCGGTACCACCAAGAATCTTAGGCGACGCCCAATCCCAGCTGTGATCCCGAGCGAAAAAAGTGCGGTACTGGCCCTGGCGATCTATGTAAGTCACCCTGCGACCCGGGCCGAGCATGGTCTTGTTGTTGTGCAGGTCGCGGATGATGTCGGCGCGGAGGCGGGTGATTTGGGAGAGGAAGGGTTCGAGGGTTGTTGGGATCTCGGGGGGTATTGATGTTGTTGTGATGTTGGATTGGGTCCTGGTGTGGGTGTTGGTGTTGGTGTTGGTGTTGATGTTGATGTTGATGTCGGTAGTTAGTTGAGTGCGGGACCCAGGATCTAGATAGTGGCTTTGGAGAAGCTCGGAGCAGATCTGGGACCAGTCGAGGATGGCCTTTTGGAGGTTTCCGAGGGGTATGATGGGCGGTGGGGAGGTGGGAACTGGGTGGGAGGAGGTCGAGCGAGACCGTCGAGAGGTGGGGAGACCCTGGGCGGTTTTGTCGGCGATGGCGATGGTGTAGCCTAGACGGTAGGCGAGGGCGACGAAGAGGTTGTGGATGGGGCTGCCCTTACTAACGTCTGGAACGTGGTCCTTGAGGTTGGTCCATTCTGAGATGAACTTGGGAGAGAACTTGGGCCGGGTGTATTTGGTTCCCTTGGGGTTCCAGGTTACGCGGTGTTCGGGAAAGTACTGGACGGGGGGCCGCTCGACGACACCGTAGCAACGCAGGTCAAGACGGAATCTAAAAGTTGGTTAGCTTCGTGTTAGAAACGTTGATCTAAGTCTCGCACTAGATGGGGGATATCAAGGGGTTAAGGGGTCAAGGGGTTCATACTTCACATGCCCCGTGACCCTCATCCTATCCAGCCAGGCACAGGCCTCAGCCGGGCTGAACTGGTACTTGTCGACCGTATTGTTGCTGTCCTTCCCAGCGTTGATGGCCGCCAACAAATCCTCAACCTTGACCTGTGCGTCATGCCGAGCAAACAACCCCTCCGGGTTCTTGTCGTCAAGCAACTTCTGCACCTTACTCGCAAAAAGCAGAAACAACCTATACCTCTCCCTCGGCTCATCCAAAACAAACCTCCCCGTCCGATTCTTCTCATTAGCACCCTCCCCAGCCAAAAACCTCAACCACTCCAAATCCCCCCCATCCAACATCTTCGGCCGTCTATCCCCCACATCCCCCCCAACCCACTCATCCATAGCCAACTGCACCCCAAACGGCAGACTCTCATCCACAAACGCCCCCTCTACCCCGCGCTTCACCAAACCCAACACATCCCGCAACAACGGCCGCGGCGCCCGGTCCTGCGCAGCCTGCAGCAGCTTGGCTACCGTCTGACACTGCGTGCGCAAGCGCTCGGCCTCCTGCATCTGCCGGGTCACGCCGCGCCAGACGATGGGCGCGCCGAGGACCAGGTTGACCGGCAGCTCGGGGATTCCCGGGACGGTGGGGTGGCGCGCGATGTTGGCTTGCTCGGCGAAGCGGTGGGCGAATTTGCGGATTTCGGTTGCGGTGCGGAGGAGGGAGCGGCAGACTATTACGGAGCGCATGGTTTCGAAGGTTTCTCGGGGGCCTGCTTTTGTTGCTTCTTCTTCTGATCCTGATCCTGCTTCTGCTCCTGCTAGTGCTCGGGCTCGAGCTCTTGCTCGGGCAGTAGCGTGGCACTCTGGAACGCAGGGCATGATCCACGCCGGCACGTCGGCAGCCTCGCGCGCTTTGCGGAGGGTCGCAGCCGGGACGGGGAAGATGATGCGGTGGCGAGTGGGCAATTTGAAGGATGACGATGACGGCGGTGCCGTTAACATCGACGGACGATCAGAAACAGCCCTCAGCGCGAGCTGAAACACCGCCCGCCGAATACCCCGCTCCTGCGCCCAATTCTGGGCAATATTCTCAGCGGGCTTGACGCTCTGCACAAAGGCAGCCCAGCCGAGTTTGGGGTTGGTGGCGGTCCAGGCCCCGCTGAGGACGCTGAAGAAGGCGTTGAAGGTCTCGTCTTCGATCTTGGCTAGGTTGCCCACCTCCGTGGGGTCCTCGATGCCTGGCGGCGGGGGAGCGTTGTCTGGGTCGGAGGTGAAGAGGCTGCGCCACCAGTACTGCTCGTCTTCTAGGAGCGTGTAGTGGAAACGCGCGTTTTCGGGCTGGTCGATAAGCATGGAGTTGACTTGGGTTGGCGGGCGTGGCTGGACGGGCTTGGGGAGGAGGAGGGTTTGCTGTTGCTGTCCAGTAAGGGCCGGGCGGTAGGTCTGGTCCTTCCCGGTGATCATCCAATCCAGGCGCGTTGATCTCAGCGGGATCGTCGTCGTCGTCGTCGTCCGAGACCAAGGGGCCGCAACAACTGTAGGCTTGATGTGTTCAAGTTCTTCGGACAAGACCTGGACAGTAGCTTTCTTGAGCACCTCGTTGAACAGGGCCCTCGTCACGGGAGGGGCAATATGCAACTGGATCTGGTCGTCATCAAACGCAAGCCACTCGAGGTATGTGACGACCTTCTCAGCCTTGGTGCCCCAATTCTTGCAGCTGTCGGACGACTCGTGGGTGAAGAAGTTGACGATCGAGTCGAGCAGGGCTTCTAGCGGAGGCTGGCGTCTCCCCGCATACCAAGAGTGACTCGCTTGGACTGCCTTGTTCAACTTTGGGCTGCTCATTCTCTCTTTCTCAATATCGTCAGGGACTGTGCAGAATGGGATATTCTCGAGCCGTCCGCGCAGTTCAGCGAGGAATTCCCCCGTCACTGGTCCGGTCCAGATACCCCTGAATCCCGCAGTCCTCGGAACAGGCCGCGAAAGCATGACTGCTGGCCGCCGTCGTGGCCGACTAGAGACATTGGGAAAAGGATTCATAGACAGGCGACGGGCTTTCTTCTTTCTCGACCTCAAAACGTCGTCCTCGTCCTCGTCCGGTTCATCCTGGTGTCTTGCTTTTCTCTTCCTACTGGGCTCATAACCCTCATCCGAGCTGAATCCATTGGGAGAGGGTAGCTTGGCGGCCCAGGCGTCGATTTGCCGGAGCACACTCTTAGATAGTCCATGGCTGGTAGCACTGGCACGTTTTACCGCAAGTTCGCTGACCTTGTGCGTCGGGAGTTGAGGAAGATCTAAACCATGATCATGGAGTTCCCCTTCGGAGGCGGAGGAACCCGATGATGCGCTGCTGCCGCGCGAATCCATAGCTTGTTGGGAGGACAGGCAGAGTGGTCAGATGGCGAACATCAGATAGAATGGCGTTGTCTCACAATGGAAGCGTAAGCGGGTAAAAAAGATGGGAGAGGGGAGAGTGAGACAGGATGGGAAGGGGGGGCAGTTCGTTCTTCTTCTTTCCCCTTTCTTCTCTAGTTTTTGGAATCATGAGTTTTCCCCTTTTTTTTCCGGTGAAAGAAATATATGTGCAAAAAATGTCTGGCTCCCCCTACCTACTAGTTCTTGATAGGAATGTACCGTTCGCATCATATTCCCCAGAATGAGCTGAGGCGAAGTCACTGACAATGAACAAAAGAGACCCAACAGCATCTCATGTTTTTGGCTAGCGTTTGTTAAAAGGTCTTCGCTCCGGGCCAATAATCCAACCCGTTTTCGGTCCGCACCCGATGTCGAACAAAGGGCCAAGTTTCCTAGATCGCAACAAAGAACGGCCACGCGCGCGTCGACACTTTGACCGTGGCTTTCCCACCTGTGCGTTTCTCTTTGTTCCCAGGGCATCCATCCCTGGTGATAGAGCTTCTCGGGTTGGCATCAAAATGCAGCCACACACGGCTGGAAAACAAAACTAGCGGTTGGGCCTGGAAACTCAGAGACTGGCAAGCGGGAGTGACGAACTGGCTCTGGTTACCACCATGTCCGCCAACATGCAGTCCTCAGAGAGAAGCTCTCCGGGTCTTCTGGACAACCGTCCTAGTAGTGATTTGGGCCCTTTAAAAGAAGCAGAAACTTCCACCAGGAACCGCCGGACTCGACGGGTCGCGCGCAACGCCGAGAGCTTCCGATACAACCGCAATCGTAGCGTTGCCCGAAGTATCGCAACCCGGATAAGAACTAGGAGTCTTGCACGGGCCGAGGCTGAGCAACAGAAGCAGCAACAACAACAACAAGAAGAAGAAGAACAGCAACAGCAACAGCAACAACAGGAGCAAGCAGATATAACAGCAAACGAAGCTCAAAATAGCACGATACCACCCCAAATAAACGAAGCCGTCCCAAAATGGAGACCATCGATCGCGCTTGGATCACCGCTTTGGGTCGAAGGGGAGGATCCCAACGCTATCCAGATAGCTGACCGCAAGGTGGCCCAAACCCGCCTCTGGGTTGAGCATTACCAAGGCGTGCCGTACTTTGCCCAGGCATATCGAGAAGCCGTCGAGGCGAGAGCACAAATGGACGAATCCGCCGAGGAAAACACCCAGCCAAGGTGAGCGAGTCCGAGCGAGTCTCTTTTTTTTTT